CCTTACTCTAAGAAAATGGCTAACATACAGAAACTCCCTCAACCTTCCACCACCAGAACTTCCTCCATGAGCACCGGTCCTTCCCTCTCCCTCCTGTTTCAATGAGAGATCCCTGTTATCTAAATTTCTCAGCTGGGTGAGATTACATCTAATCTCAGCAACTTCGGGAGGCCAAGGCAGGAGGATCCCTTGAACCCAGAAGTTTGACACCAGCCTGGGCGACACAGGGAGACCTCATCTCTACAAAAAATAATTAAAAATTAGCCAGGTGTGGTGGCTCATGCCTGTAGTCTCAGCTACTTGGGAGGCTGAGGCAGGAGAATCACTTGACCCCAGGAGTTTGAGGCTGCAGTAAGCCGTGACTGCACCATTGCACTCCAGCTTGGGTAACAAAATTAGACCCTGCCTTTAAAAAAAAAAAATTAAAAAAAAAATATATATATATGCACATTTTTCTGCCAATCCACCAAATTCCCTCTCCTGGCTTTTAAGAACTTGCTCTGTCAACTCTCCCCTCATATTTGCTACCTCTCTCACCCCAACAGCTCTTTCTCATTGATATTTTAACATGTTCATACTTGACAGCTCTTTACAATTCAACCCTCTATTCCTCATCTTTCAGCCTAACATGTCTCCTAATGGCAGAAAGTCTTGTAAGGTGGTACGCAGAGTCCCATTCCTCATCCCTCTGCAGTCTTGACTTCTGCTCCACCACTCCCCTGAAATAGCCTTCATGAAAGACACTGATGACCTACATGTTCCAAATCCGAACCCAAATCCGAAAACCACTTTTTTTTTGAGATGGGAGTCTCACTTTGTTGCCCAGGCTGGAGTGCAGTGGCATAGTCACAGTTTACTGCAGCCTTGAACTCCAAGCTCAAGTGATCCTCCTGCCTCAGCCTCCCTAGTAGCTGTGGCTACAGATGCATGCAACCACACTCAGCTTAAAAGCTACATTTTAATCCCTGTTGTATTTGCCTTCTCAGCAGCATTTAACTCTATCAACTGTCTCTTCCTCTGGCCACTCTTCTGGGGAGGAAAGTGACACACACTTTGCTTCCTGGTCTTCTCTCTACCACTTCAGTCTCCTTGGCAGACCCCTCCTTTATTCACCTCCTAAATGGGCCTGTTCCTCATGGCTGTATTCTGGGTTAGTTCTCTTTCCATGCCAGAGGCAACGCTGTTTATTCCTATGGCTTTGTCTGCTGGTGACACCCAAATCTATACCAAGACCTGATCCTTGAGCTCCAGGGTCATGGAAACAAAAGCACACATGGCACTTGAACTTGGGATGTCTTCTATGAGTCCTGTCCTCGTGTCTAACATTGAACATATGCCACTACCAAGCACCACCACTCAAAAAACCCAGGTTCTGCTCTCAGCTCTTCCTCTAACTTCCCCTCACAAAATGGTACTGCAATTGCCTGTTACTCAAGCCAGAAGCCTGGGGTTCGTCATGAATCTTCCTGCCCTGCCCTGCATATAAAACTGTCCTTTTATATCAGTTTTACATATAAAACTGTTTTACATATAAAACTGTCCTTTTATATCAGTTATCCACTGCTGTGTTGCAAATTGCCCCAAAACAATGGCTTAAGACAACAGCCTTTCTCACAATTCTGAGTTGTCTGGAAAGCTCTGCTGGTCTCTCCCAGCCTGGCTGAAGCAGCTGTCTTATCCCAGCTAGTGTCTGAACTCAGCTAGGGCTGCTAGGCCTCTCCATGTGGCCTTTCATCTTCACAGTATGGTGGATGGTCTCTGGGCTCCTCCTCTTTTTTTTTCCAGATAGAGTCTCACTCTGTTGCCCAGGCTGGAGTGTAGTGGTGTGATCTCGGCTCACTGCAACCTCTGCTTCCCCAGTTCAAGTGTTTCTCCTGCCTCAGCCTGCCCAGTAGCTGGGATTACAGGTGCCCAACACCATGCCCGGCTTTTTTTTTTTTTTTTTTTTTTGTATTTTTACTAGAGACAGGGTTTCATCATGTTGGTCAGGCTGGTTTCGAACTCCTGACCTTGTGATCTGGTTTCTGGGCTCCTTCTAAGAGGAAAGAACAGAAGCTGCAAGGTCTGTTGAGGCCTGGGCTCAGAACTCTCCCAGTGCCACTTCTGTCACATTTTTTGGTGAAAGCTAACTACAGGGCCAGCCCAGAACCCACAGGTGGGGAAATAAACCTCATATCCTGGTGAGGGAAGCTATGAAGTATCTGTGGCCATCCTTCATAACTAAAATTCTACCATCTATTTGGTAAAACCAAACAAAATTGTTACTCTTTGGCCATTTTTGGCCTAAGAAGCAGCACTTTTATATGGCTCAATCCAATACTTTTGGCTGGGCGTAGTGGCTCATGCCTGTAATCCCAGCACTTTGGAAGGCCAAGGTGGGTGGATCACCTGAAGTCCGGTTCAAGACCAGCCTGGACAACATGGTGAAACCCTGTCTCTACTAAAAATACAAAAATTAGCTGGGCGTGATGGCGCATGCCTGTAATCCCAGCTACTCGGAGGGCTGAGGCACAAAAATTGCTTGAACCCGGGAGGTGGAGGTTGCAGTGAGCTGAGATCGCACCACTGCACTCCAGCCTGGGCGACAGAGCAAGACTCTGTCTGGAAAAAAAAAAAAAAATTTAATAGTTTGGAGTTTGTTTTTTATAGAGACAGGGGTCTCACTATGTTGCTCAGGGTGGTCTCAAACTCCTGGCCTCAAGTGATCTTTCCGCCTTGGCCTCCCAAAGTGCTGGGATTACACGTCAGTCACCCTGTGTAGCCTCAATCTAATACTTCCTGAATTCACCCTGTTCTGGATCACTGTGGTCATCTGGTCTACTACACTAGCTTCCTAGCAGTTGCCTATGCCTCCACTGAGGTTTTCCTGCAGTTCTTTTGTCTCACAACAGCCAGTAAGATATTTGCCACCTTTGAGTGTGATTACCCCACTCCTGCTGAAGACTCCCAATTCGTTTACATTTTTCCTAAGTGGCATGTGAGGCCCTCCAGATCAGGCACCTACTTAACTCACCCATTCCATTTGCTTCCCAGCTCATACCCTCTGCTCCACCTCCACTATTGCTGGACTTTCCCAAAGTTCCCTTGTACCCCTTTCCAGTCAATCCTACTCATCCTATCTCATCCCCAGGCAGCCACTGTTCTGATTTCTATCTCTATAGATTAGATATACCTGTTTTGGGCTTATATGAATGGAATCATGCAATATGTACTCTTTTTGTACCTGGGTTCTTTCACGCAATATAATGTCTATGAGATGTCAAATCTCTCCACTTGATCTTGGCCAAGAGGGCGAGAAGCGATGAGATGTCAAATCTCTCATCCATGTTACTGCACGTATTTCATTCCTTTTTATTATTATTTTTTGAGACAGAGTCCTGCTCTGTCACTCAGGCTGGAGTGCAGTGGCGCAATCTTGGCTCCCGCAACCTCCGCATACCGGGTTCAAGTGATTCTCCTGCCTCAGCCATTCCTGAGTAGCTGGGATTACAGGTGCACCCCACCACGCCCGGCTAATTTTCTTTTTTTTTTTGAGACAGGGTCTTCCTCTGTCGCCTAGGCTGGAGTGCAGTGGCGCAATCTCAGCTCACTGCAAGCTCTGCCTCCTGGGTTCACACCATTCTCCTGCCTCAGCCTCCCGAGTCGCTGGGACTACAGGCACCTGCCACCACACCCGGCTAATTTTGTTTTTGTATCTTTAGTAGAGACAGGGTTTCACTGTGTTAGCCAGGCTGGTCTCGATCTCCTGACCTCAGGTGATCCACCCGCCTTGGCCTCCCAAAGTGCTGGGGTTATAGGCGTGAGCCACCGCGCCTTGCCCTTTTTTTGATTTTTAATCAACATTATTGAGAGGTATAATTTATATACAATATTTTAAATACATAAGTTCTCATATAAAAATTAGCCAGGGGTGGTGGCGTACTGCTATAGTCCCAGCTACCAGGGAGCTGAGGTAGGAGGATCACTTGAGTCTGGGAGATCAAGGCTGCAGTGAGCTGTGAACATGCCACTGCATTCTAGCCTAGGTGACACAGCGAGACCCTGTCTCAAAAAACAAAAAGTTATTCTTCCTTGGGAACTGCTTATAAAAAAGAAAAAGCAGGCCAGGCACTGTGGCTCACACCTATAATCCCAGCACTTTGGGAGGCCCAGGCAGGCAAGGCCTCCTGGCCTTGAGCTCAGGAGTTCAAGGACAGCCTAGCCGATGCGGTGAAACCCCATCTCTACTAAAAATACAAACATTATCCGGGTGTGGTGGTGTGTGCCTGTAATCCCAGCTACTTGGAAGGCTGAGGCAGGAGAATCGCTTGAACCCAGGAGGCAGAGGTTGTAGTGAGCCAAGACCCCGCCCAGCCTGGGTAACATCTATAAATAATAGTTCCATGAGTTTAGAAATACAAAGTAGCATGACTTAACAAACTTACACATCTATGTAACCAGGCACCAATTAAGATACAGAATAATTCTATCACCGAGGAAGTTTCCTTGTGTCTGGCCCAAACAAACATCCTTCTCCACAGGTAAGCTCTGTTAGTTTTTATCACCATAGATTTCATTTGTCCTATTCTTGAATCTCATATAGATTATACAGTATGTATTTGGTGGTCCTTCAACATAATGACCAGGTGTGGTGGCTCATGCCTGTAATCCCAACACTTTGAGAGGCCAAGGAAGGGGGATCTCTGGAATTCAGGAGTTGGAGAGCAGCCTGAACAATATAATGAAGACCCCCGTCTCTGCAAAAAGTTTACAAGTTAACCGGGCGTGCTGGTGCGGGCCTGTGGGCCAGCTACCTGGGAGGCTGAGGTGGGAGGTCAAGGCTGCAGTGAGTGATTGCACCACTGCATTCCAGCCTGGGTGACACAATGAGACTCTGTCTCAAAAAAAAATTTAAAAAAAAAAAAAAGAAAAGAGAAAACGCATTGTGTGTTGTATTTATTGGATGATGGAATTATGGGGTTTACGGGCCTTCTGTTGCGTTTTGATTTTTGTTTTCTTACCTGTTATCGCGTTCTTAACAGTAGGCATCATATAGTATTCCCATGGAACTTTCCTTTGTTTAAAGCCTTACAATTTGGAGACTTACACATTTAAGGTGAGATGTGACAGGCTTAAAAATAAACTTTGGAGGCCAGGCGTGGTGGCTACCGCCTTTAATCCCAGCACTTTGGGAGGCTGAGGCGGGAGGATCACGAGGTCAGCAGTTGGAGACCAGCCTGGTCATCATGGTGAAACCCCGTCTCTTACTAAAAATACAAAAATTAGTCGGGCGTGGTGGGCGCCTGTAATCCCAGACAGTCGGGAGACTGAGGTAGGAGAATAGCTTGAACCTGGGAGGCGGAGGTTGCAGTGAGCCGAGATCGCGCCACTGCACTCCAGCCTGGGACAGGGCGAGACTCCGTCTCAAAAAAATAAATAAATAAAAAATAAAATAAACGTTGGGTTATTTCAGTGTGAAGTAAGGCAATAAACAGAGGGCTAACAGTTCCACTTCGTAGAGCTCAGGAGTTTTAAAAAGCGAGGAGGCCGCGTCCTGGAAGGGTGAGCAAAAAGCCTCCCTTTAAGGTTTGCGCACAAAGGGAGAGGCCAGTCCAGAGAGACCCAGCGCCGCGCAGAATGATGATGTCGCACGCCGGGTGGGAACTGACGTCACCTGTGCTCACCGCCGCTTCCGGTCCGCGTGAGGTGCATTCTCGCGCCGGTGGCGGGCTTGGGGCCGGCGTTGCGACGTGGTGCGGCGCATATTTTCACAAGTGTGTCGCCCTTGGTCTGGACTATGGCCACCGACTCTTGGGCCCTGGCGGTGGACGAGCAGGAAGCGGCTGTCAAGTCGGTCAGTGGCTTCATCTCCAGGCGGGGAGGACGTAGCAGGGGCCCAGGTGAAACCTGCCTAAAGCACAGGGAGCTCCCCGGGTTGGGGAGGCTCCTGGGCAACGCGCTGCTAGAGTTTGCTGGGGCAGTCACTTGCCCTTGATTTGCTCTTAGAGCTAAAGAGACCAGTGTCGAGCTTTTTATCTCCATATGGGCTGGTTAAGGACTTCATCCTTTGGTATATCCACCCCACTATGCATGCTGTCATTCCTCTATTGACCTCCTCGGTGACGATTATAAGGAAAGCCAAGTTTAGATGCTGATTCTCATTTTCATTATGCGACTGTTCTTCGCATGTTTCTGTGCTACTCTGTATTTAACATTTCTTAGATCCATGCTTAACGTGGTTGGCAGTTTGTAGCTCTTTGTAGAATAACAGATTCACTTTTAGATGTAATACCTCAATCTGCAGATGTTGGAAGGAGGCACTACAAATTGTTTCATTGATGTTTAAAGTGACACTTAGTTTCATATACTTGTTCTTTAAGTAATGAATATTCATTCAACTGGAATGTAATTACAGCATACACCGTGGCTTTCTGTTCTTGTATCTAAGACCTAAGCTTTAGGTTTGTTTAGTGATAATGGACTGGTTTTTTTGTTGTTGTTGTTGTTGTTGTTTTTGTTTGAGGCGGAGTTTTGCTCTTGTTGCCCAGGCTGGAGTGCAGTGGCGTCATCTCGGCTCACCACAACCTCCACCTCCCGGGTTCAAGCGATTCTCCTGCCTCAGCCTCCTGAGTAGCTGGGATTACAGGCATGCGCCACCACGACTGGCTAATTTTGTATTTTTAGTAGAGACGGGGTTTCTCCATGTTGGTCAGGCTGGTCTTGAACTCCCGACCTCTGGTGATCCGCCCACCTCAGCCTCCCAAAGGGCTGGGATTACAGCCGTGAGCCACCACGCCTAGGGGGTATGGGGATTTTTGAGAGGGCTATTGACAGAATTAGACAAGGCTGGCAAGGATTTACTGAACTACAGAGAACAGAATATGTTACAAGTGATGGCTAATAGAAATATCGGTGTAGAAGTTATTCTGGGCCGGGCGCGGTGGCTCACGCCTGTAATCCCAGCACTTTGGGAGGCCGAGGCCGGCGGATCACGAGGTCAGGAGATCGAGACCATCCTGGCACATGGTCTAAAAAAAATACAAAAAAATTAGCCGGGCGTGGTGGCGGGCGCCTGTAGTCCCAGCTTCCCGGGAGGCTGAAGCAGGAGAATGGCGTGAACCCGGGAGGTGGCCGAGCTTGCAGTGAGCGGAGATTGTGCCACTGCACTCCAGCCTGGGCGACAGAGCGAGACTCTGTCTCAAAAAAAAAAAAAAAAAAAAAGAAGTTATTCTGATAGATAGAGGGCCTATATGTTGGGCAGTGGAAGTGAAAATGAGGGGATGGATATAAGATACAAAGATAGAATGGGTAGGACTTGCTAACATAATAAAGGAGAGAAGGGAGATAAAGCGAAAGGTTTCTGTTTTCAACTTGGATCCTATTGGTATTACTAACGTTCCAATAACAGGAATACGAAAGTGGGAGGAAGGGCAGATTTGATAAAATGGTGAAGGCAGCCGGGCATGGTGGCACCCACCTGTGATCCCAGCACTTTGGGAGGCCGGGGCGGGCAGATCAGTCGAGGTCAAGAGTTTGATACCAGCCTGGCCAACATAGCGAAACCCTGTCTCTACTAAAAATACAAAAGTTAGCCAGGCATGGTAGCAGGCGCCTGTAATCCCAGCTACTCAGAAGGCTGAGGCACGAGAATTGCTTGAACCTGGGAGGTGGAGGTTGCAGTGAATCGAGATCACGCCACTGCACTCCAGCCCGGGCTACTGAGTGAGACTCTGTCTCAAAAAGAAAAAAAAAAAAAGAATGGTGAAGGCTGGGCACGGTGGCTCACACCTGTAATCCTAGCACTTTGGGAGACTGAGGCAGGCAGATCAGTTGAACCCAGGAGTTCAAGACCAGTGTGGGCAACATGGTGAAACCCCATTTCTACAAAAATACAAAAAATAAATTAGCTGGGCGTGGTGGTGGCGCACTCCTGTGGTCCCCGTTACTCAGGATGCTGAGATGGGAGGATCACCTGAGCCTAGGGAGGTTGAGGCTACAGTGAGCTGTGATCACACCACTGCACTCCAGCATGGGCGACAGTGAGACCCTGTTTCAAAAAAAGAAAAAAGGGAATGGTGAGTTCAGGTTTGGCTGTTCTGAGTTTAAAATAAGGAGACATCTTGGTAAGTACCTGTTGTGGGAGTCCCCAGGAGATGCCAGGTTTGACGATTTGTTAGGAGAGCTCACAGGCTCAGTATGTAGTTGTACTCACAGCTATGATTTATTATAGTGAAAAGATACAAAGCAAAATTAGTGGAAGAAAAAGGCTCATGGGCTAAGTCCAGAGGAAACCAGGCAAACTTCCAAGTTATCTCCCAATGGAGTCCACAGAGTGTGCTTAATTCTTCCGGTAGCAAATTGTAACAGCACGTATGAGGTGGTATCAGGGAAGCTTGTTAGAGACTACTTGAGGCTTTTATTGGGGGCCTGTCATATAGTCACCCTGTGCCTGGCTTGTACCAGAATTCCAGACTTCCAGAAGGAATGCAGGTGGTTAGCATAAATTCCATGTTTTTACAAACAGTTGAGGCAGACTGACCCCCTCTTATCAGTTCTAGGAATGATGGGAACCTTCCCAAAGTCCAAGTTCTCAGGTGACAGCCAAGGGCCAGCCTTGCAAATAGGCTTTCCTAAGGAGAGTGGTCAGGCCTGCTGTGTTCTTTTCTGCACGGTAGCCATCAGGCATTTGGAAATACAGCACTGGAATTCAGGGGAAGGAGCAGGTCAGAGGTACAAAACCAGCAGTTTCCACAAAGAAATTACAAAGCATTATCAAGAGCATGGGCCTTGTACTCTGGAGTTTAAAATCTAGCATTTGGCCGGGCGCGGTGGCTCAAGCCTGTAAACCCAGCACTTTGGGAGGCCGAGACGGGCGGATCACGAGGCCAGGAGATCGAGACCATCCTGGCTAACACAGTGAAACCCCGTCTCTACTAAAAAAATACAAAAAACTAGCCGGGCGAGGTGGCGGGCGCCTATAGTCCCAGCTACTCGGGAGGCTGAGGCAGGAGAATGACGTAAACCCGGGAGGCGGAGCTTGCAGTGAGCTGAGATCCGGCCACTGTACTCCAGCCCGGGCGACAGAGTGAGACTCCATCTCAAAAAAAAAAAAAAAAAAAAAAAAAAAATCTAGCATTTAGCATCAGATCTACTCTGAAAGACAGTTACTGATAATTGGTTTCAAACCTTGTGAAATCTGTGACCCTAACCTAGCTGTGATATGAATATCACAAATACAGGCCTAAACATACTTGGTGTCTGCTTCTAAGCATTCAGCTTATCAGAAGGCTGGTGTAAATAAATGCTTCCTAATAGTTGAAGAATACCTGTTTTTTCACCACTTAGACTTGTGTACCTTCACTTCATAAATGATTCATGGTCTTAGGTTATCATGTGGCTCTGCTCTCTGGAGTAGAGAAAACCAATGAAAGTGACAGAAGAGGCCGGGCGCGGTGGCTCACGCCTGTAATCCCAGCACTTTGGGAGGCCGAGGCGGGCGGATCACAAGGTCAGGAGATCGAGACCACGGTGAAACCCCGTCTCTACTAAAAATACAAAAAAATTAGCCGGGCGCGGTTGTGGGCGCCTGTAGTCCCAGCTACTCGGGAGGCTGAGGCAGGAGAATGGCGTGAACCCGGGAGGCGGAGCTTGCAGTGAGCCGAGATCGCGCCACTGCGCTCCAGCCTGGGCGACAGAGCAAGACTCCGTCTCAAAAAAAAAAAAAAAAAGAAAGTGACAGAAGGCTGGGTGCAGTGACTCACACTTGTAATCCCAGTGCTTTGGAGGCCAAGGTGGGAGGATTGCTTGAGCCCAGGAGTTCGAGTTTGAGTTCGAGTAGGCATGGTGGTCTACACCCTGTGGTCTCAGATACTAGGGAGGCTGAGGTGGGAGGATCGCTAGAACCCAGGAGGTTGAGGCCACAGTGAGCCATGATTGTGCTGCTGCACTCCAGCCTAGGTTACAGAGTGAGACCTTGTTTCAGAAAATAAATAAATAGAAAAAAAAAAAAAAAAAAAGAAAAAACTTGAGTTGGGAGATAAGCAGAGTTTGAGGTTTTCTGAAACTTTCCCCCTAACCATTATATTTAGGCCACCCCTCGCCTTGTTTGAAGGCTGTTGAAGATGTTTGAAATGATGGTTTCACACAGACTTTCAGCAGTTCTACTTTGAGGGAATAAACCAATTCCCTCAATACTGGT